GTCCGCGCGATACTCTCGCTAAGGACGACAGGGTGCGGCCGTTGTTTCCGGATAAAGACGCTAAAGGACGCTGCGAGAGACGAGCGCGCGTCTCCGCCGAGGGTGAAGGAGAACTGCGACCCTCGAGCTCGTGGGAGAAGGAGAAGAAAAACTTGGAGAGCACGAAATTAGTCGTACTCGCGGCGAGGAGCATTAGACGCGCCCCGGGGTAACCCTCGCCCGCGCGGTCCCGTTTTATTCGATAATTATGCAAATGCCGGAATGATTGTCGGGCAATATGTCCTCGGAATAAAAGTACCAGGCCGGAGCAATTCGGTTATCTTTATGATTTCGGGTCGGCGAAGGGCGGCGAAGGAAAGGAATGGCGCGCGCGAGCACAGGGGGCTCGTCGTCAATCCTCGGCGACAAGAGTCAAGCCCTTCATTTGCATCGAAACGCGCTCCCCCTCGGCGCGTTTTACCTTCTTACTTGCGGGCGCGAATGCGACGACGCACCGTGACCGACGTCGATCACAGACTTACAAAGATAGACTGCGCACTCTCTCCCGTTCGAGGGTCGTTAGTACTGGTAAAAAAGGGCAACAGAGAGTGGCTCGTTGAAAAAGTATGTGGCCTAATACAGAGATAGAAATTTAGCCAAACCTTTATTACCGTATTTCAGAGCTATCCTTTATTAGGTAAAGTGATCTGTCTCTGTCCGACGGTGCATCAAAGTGAATTCCTCTGTGCGTTCATGACTGTTCCTGGAATGGTATCTTGTTTCTGGAGTGAAGTGGCAGAGCCAGGTTTCGTCGACGGTTATAAGTCGATGTTACGAGTCTTTCAGACTGTGGCGAAATCATGCCAAACGGTGTGAGAAATAACCAATCGCCCGTAGAGCTCACTTTGGCGCATTGTCAAACAAAGACTAATCGACAGATCGCTCTATACTGTCATACTTAATATAATAAAGGATGGCTTTGGAATATAGTAATAAAGATTTGATCAAATTCACGCTGTATTAGGCCGTGTATTTTTTGAACGATTTATGCAGATACGCTTTCCTTGTCTAATTGTCTAATTGGTGAAGAGAACGAAAGAGAAGAAGCGATCATATGGTCAGTCTTCTCTTTCTTTTTTGTTTTTCCTATATCTCTTAAACCCCTTGGAATACTGCGTGATAGTGAAAACATCCTAATCACGTGGAGAATACACTAGAGATATCACTTGGTTAAATATGGTTGTAAAAGGGCTGTAGAATTCCGGAAATGATATGCCGATCTTCTTTGCTGCCTGTCCATATGTGTTTGAGCTCTTAATACTGTTTGGCGCAACCAAGCCCTACCGATCTCTTAACCATAATATTAAAACAAAACTCAGTAGTATCCGATTTGATACGATTTATCATCAAATATAACCCGGCCTGATCTATATTCGCTTTGGTAACGGGAGACCCTCTTGATTAAACCTTTCTTGTCTCAACAAGAGAAACCGATCCGGGCCAGGGTCGGGTCAGGGTCTGACCAAAACGAATATAAATCAGGTCGGGTTATATTTGATGATCGGGCTCTCTCTCTCTCTCTCTCTCTCTCTCTCTCTCTCTCTCTCTCTCTCTCTC